GATCTCCTGTTCTGTGTTCCAGAGCTATTCTTTCAATGTAGTAGGTGCCTGAGATCATGTCCAGTTCATTAGCCAAACACTCTACTATTACACCACACACACACACACACACACACACACACACACACACACACACAGATGCACATTTCCCTTAATTCTCCCTCAAACTCTTTAATCCCCATGTAAAATCTCTTCAGAGACAAATGTGCTCTGTACTACCATAGTAGATGGTGGTAGTTGACTTCCAAGATCTATTCTACCCAGATTAGTACAAACAATGCCCATGCCTCTTGCCACTGAGTGAGTCAACAGAGACATGTAATCTAGTCTTGGCCAATGAGCCATGAGAGAGTCTCCTGAGGCTGTTTCAGGGGATAGTTTCCTAGTTCATAACACAGATCCACAAGAAAGAAACAATCTGTACCTCTTATTCCTCTTGTCTAGACGTTGTTTTGTTCTGGTTCTTGCAAGGCTGACCTTGTTGAGCTCCATCAATGGGCTCCTATGCCTCCGGGTTTTCAGTTAGCTGGAAACTGTCCACCAACTGTCCCTGTGTCCATCGGGAGGCGCCAACCAGAACAGAACTCAGGGTACGAGGAGAGTGAGGCCAAGGTAAATTGGCCCCTGACTGCCTCCATACTTAGCCAGTAGCTTGGGTCCTCACCTAAAAACCCAGCTTGTCAGATAGCACTCTCCCATAGCTACAGGAAGAATTCTCTATCCAGGTTCTGGTAGCCAGTTCTCGTGGCGCTTCTAGTCTACAAGTGCTGCAAGGCTCTCTGCTGTAGGTAGTCCTGAGATCCTTCCTTATTCCTGATCACACTCCCTCATCCTGCCCACTCTTCTGTGAATAGTCCCTGCACTAAAGTCGCCTCCATTTCCCAGTTTGACTGAGCCATCTGTTTCCTGTCAGGACCCTGACTGACATATGGCGGAAACAAACTTTGACTATTTTAAGCAAAAATGGAATTTGGGGACAGGCATGTTTGGAGTCACAGAAATGAGGGGAGGTGGGAGGACCAGGATTGTAGAACAAGCAGGAATCAAAGGACCACTGGAAAGTTGAATGACAGCTACAGTTATTCCGTGGGAAGAACCTAGGCCACCCACAGCCATTGCCTGCATGCTCATGAACTGTGCCTGTGACCTTCAGTCACCTATTCGAGAGTTGATCTGTAGAGTGGAGGGGAAGGATCAGGTTCCTTTGGCTATTGCGATAGGAAGTAGATACCACTGTCCACCAACACCAACCAAAAGGAAAATTCTTTAAAATAAGAAATCAGGCTGTTAATAGGAGCAACTCCCTTTAAGGACAAATGTTGCCATAATAATTAATGAAAGAATGTGGAGCTGCCTTCACAATCAATGCATCTAAAGCAACTTTTCTCAAAAGTTGAAGGTTCTTGTAGAGATAGGCATCTCTCAACAAGGATTTCAGTAGCAGAGATGTATCACGTTTAAAGGTCTCAGAAATGAAAATTCTTTAAAAGGTTTTTTAACTGGGTTAGATATAGAGTTATTGGTTTTATCCTAACAAGGTGTCCATGTTGTCCCTTTCTTAAATCTGCACATCTAATGGGTCTTCTGCCCAATAACAAGCCACTCAAGATCTAGCAGATTTACAAACCAGTAACTACAAATAAACTTATCTCTAGGAAACAACTTATTATATTAATTTGGGTTATAAATTGGCCCTTCTCCAGGTAATTTTTTTCTAGCCCTTCAAAAAAAATATGTTTTATTGATTTTTTACAGAGAGGAAGGGAGAGAGGGATAGAGAGCTAGAAACATCGATGAGAAAGAAACATCGACCAGCTGACTCCTGCACATCCCCCACTGAGGATGTGCCTGCAACCAGTGTACATGCCCTTGACCAGAATCGAACCTGGGACCTTTCAGTCTACAGACCGACACTCTATCCACTGAGCCAAACCGGTTTTGGCTTTGTTAGCCTTTTAAAGGTTATTTTGAATCTCTACCAGTAATCCTTTGCTTTACTCAGATTTCTATTTTTGCTAGTTCATGATATATTAAGTGTATAATTTTACAGTAAACTGAAGACAAATAGCTTATTGAAGAAGTTTAAAGATAATGCTATTTTGTTATATTTGTTGACTCTTGTATTTATAATGTATACAATTACTAAATCTATCATAACACTTAGGCTATTTACTTTTATAAGTCTTTGGAACCATACTTTAATGTCAACTCCAAAATTAACTTTCTTTTAAAGACAGAGCTGATGACTTATGTCAGCATACACTTTCCTCATCATGAATGAAAGCAATACATATTCATAATTGTTCCCTAGAGATTTCTTGATAGTTACTGTTATCAATAAAAGGAAATTCTTTTTCTTCAAAATAAAATTACATGGATGCAAAGCCTATCATTTTCAATTGAGAAGTTATGTTCTGTTATATTAGATTAGTTGGTTATATATATATTTTATTTCTAAAATGTCAATTTATTAGAAAATGGGGAATAAACAGATCACTGTCCAGGCCAACAAAAAGGTTTCCAGAGCTGACAGTGAGATGATTTTATTTAGCATGACAATAGATGAAAAATTGATATGGGTATTTATAACACACATTTAACGATTTTTCTTTAATTCAAGAAAAATCTTTAAATGTGTAGCTTGTCTCATATGTTCTTATGTCTTATATGCTTCTTGTCTTGATGATGTATGTAGGAAAATAGTAATTAGAAAAGGGGCATGGAGAAGACCTACTACAGTTTTCATATGGAACTGTCTGTGGTTATGTTTCATGGGGTACTCCTCCAATACATTATCTTATAAAGTGCGTACAATACTACTGCTCTAAATATGTACAAACCTAATGGCCTGCAATACCTTTTGGTTGCCTGGTGGAGACAATCTAGCCCTTACTTTCAAGGAAGCAATAATATTATAAATATTTCCCTTCCACTTTGAAAAACACACATCTTTTTCCTACCAGTCTTTGTCTATTCAAAACCTTTGAAGAGGTCTTTGTAATTGAACTGGTAGGCTATCAGTTGTTTTAAAAAACAATATCAGCACAATCAAATCAGCAAGCAGGTCTGATACAGTCATTAAAGTGGCTTGGTATCCTGGATACCCAGAAACGCAGGGCCAAGAAGAGGCTATCCCTTTCACTGGCTTCTCACAGTGCATAATGTCAAGTTCTACCCTGAGGTGTAGAACAGGGGCTGGCCTTGGGCTCCCTGCTTTGAGTGTACAGCTCCATAGGAATAAGTGGATATAGGGCCACTGTTCTCTTGTGCCAGGACACTGTCCGCATAAATAGGAATACCAACCGGCAGGCATACAATAGCTAGTGAGTTCTAATTCCAGCCCTGCTTTCTCTGCTAGATCAGGTGGCAGTTGGCAGAAAAACTAATATCCTGAAAGTTAATTTGCTAGTTGCAAGTCAGGGATATCATTGGGCATAGGAGAATAGCCTGCTGCTGCTTCAGAGTGTTTTACATATATTTTGAGGATGCTGGTTTCCTAGGAAGGAAGAAAAAAAGTCTGATTTCTGGATTGCAGTGTGTAGGCAGTTGTTGTCCAATCCAATTTGGGACTACGGTTTCCAGATTTCAAGGGGGGGGGGAGAACTTTATGTTCTGAGATAAGAGGCCTCATCTATCTCATTCACCTTAGTGCTAATCTATAGCAGCTATTAAATACTTCTTGAATAAATGAACAAATAAATGAACAAATAAAAGAGCAGTAGATTTCTTAATGGCAATGGCAAATGAATTCATTTTAAAGAGTTTTTTGGGGGTCTTTGTAGTTAAAAGACTACCGGAAGACATAGTTGATAGTGACTCTTTTAAATGCAAATTGTGGTTAAACAAACACCAACATATGAAAATCTGTGTGCACAAAACAAATAAATTAAAAGGTGATGATATGAATCACAATTACATGGAAATATGCCTTAATGTAGAGGTTTACTAAATGTTGGCCCATGATGGTTCCGCAGGTTCAAAGAGAAATGAGAAATATCAGCTTTGTACTAGTCTTCATAAGGTAAATTTAAGAAACTGTACTTTATTCAAAAATTGACCTCCTCCAATTTATGTGGTTAAAATACGATCTATCTATCTACAATAATAAAAGCATAATATGCAAATCGACTTACCGACCGAACAGCAGAATGACCATCTGGACAACCTTCTGGATGACCACACTATGACATGCACTGGCGCCAGACCAACCAAGGCAGATGCAATGCAATTGGTTGAGAGACCCCATGATTGCCCCAGAGGGTGGCCCAGGCCATGGGCCAGAGGACTGACCAATTGGGCGGGGGGCTCTGCAATCGCCCCAAAGAGGGAGACCCAGGCCACACTCTGCCTGGCAATCAATTGCAGAGCCCTGGCTGGGTGGGCAGGGCCTCTCTCTGCAGGGCGATTGATCTGGGGGCCCTGTGATCAATCACCCCACAGAGAGGCCCAGGCCACCAGCCAGCAATACTGTGGTAGGTATGCAGGGCTGGTCAGCGATTGCCCCTCAGAAGGAGGCCCAGGCCAGCCAAGTGATCACACCCCATGCCTGCTGCCCACAGAAAGAGGGGACAGGTGATGGGGGTAAGGTGGGGGGCAGCACCTCATAGATGGCAAGCAGTGGCAGCAGCAGGGGTGGGGACAGCTACTGGCAGCCAGGGGAAGGAAAGCCCCAATAGGCCCTGATCACAGGTCAGGCCTAGGGACCTACCCGAGGAGTCCCGGATTACGAGAGGGCTCAGGCTGGGCTAAGAGACACCCTCTCCCCCTGCACAAATTTGGTGCACTGGGCCTCTAGTATATACACACACACACTATAGACCTATTTTATGCTAGTTATTCCTTTTTAATGCCCTTACTTGTCAAAATAAAGTTGGAGAAACATATATTGGTTCCCCAGGTTTTTAAAAATACTTTATTGTTTTGTGAAATCCAAGTGTTAAAGACTGGCACAGTTTAAAATAAAGTTCATTTTATAAAAGCATATAAAGTATTTTTTTAAAAGAAATGTAACATATTGAATAAAGGAAGATAGTATAATCTTGGCTTTAATTATCCATGCTAATAATAGCCAACAGGTAAGCCCAGCCTGTGTAGCTCATTTGATTGAGCATCGTCCCAAGCACTAGAAGGTTGTGGGTTCGATTCCTGGTCAGGGCATGTTGCCTGGATTATGGGCTCAATTCCTAGTAAGGGGCATGCAGGACATAGTCAACCAATGTTTCTCTCTCTCCCCCTCTTCCTTCCTCTCTCTGAAATCAATAAAAATATATTTTAAAAAATAGCCGACAGATGTTGAGTGGCTATTCTGTGTTGAGCACTGCTCTCAGGCTTTTTGAAATGTATGAAATCATTTAAATTTCATAGCAGCTCAAGAAGAAAGCTTTATTATCCCCATTTTACAGCACTCCGGGCACAATCAAGTCCTTTCCCCAAAAGACACATAATAAACCCATGGCTCCACAACATATATTCTTATATTAAAGAAACTGGGCCATTTGACTGTACAACCAATAAAAAACATTGTTGATATAGTCTAATGATGATACAAATGGATGTTCAATCACCATACAGATTATACACTAAGACTCTTATCTTATATTTAAGTCAGAGCCCCTCCCAATCTTACCTTATTAATCCAGTTAGTGATGACCTATTTTTAGCTTCAGTGTTTACACAGGCATTGCTTCAAGCAACATCCTCATTTCTTAAGCTCGTGTTTTGATTAGCTAATAACAAAAAAAACAAAACAAGAAAATACATTTTCAAATGGGCATTTCAACCAAGTAAGGAATGAAAGCATATGTTCAAATTTAGTCATCAAGATTAAGTTAATTTAGGGCAAATTCAACTTTATAGTAAACAAGTAGAAAAGCACATTTAAATTTACCTGTTTAAAATATATACATATATGTATATACACGTACCCCAGCTTTGAAATGCTAATTTTAAGTACTAAAAAGCCCAGCTTCCAAATATTGATACCCATTCCAACCGTAGGCTCTTACTTAAAACGAATAGATCACAAACTTTAGTGGAAACTCACATTTGTTTGCAGCATCAGAAATCCAAAATATAACATCATTTGGGAAAGTGGCAATTTAAACAGTAAAATTCAAGACTGCTGAATCAAACTAGACTTTTGGACTACAATCGCGTGGGGATGGGGGGATCCAAATTTGCAGCAAATTGCATTAAAGACAATAATTTTGTCTTTCCAAAACTTACAGTACTCTTCGTAGTGGTAAAAATGATTGTTAGGTTAAATATAGGATTCTATCATCCTATCTTCTATTCAACACCATTTACCAAAATATCGCACTACATTAAAGGAATTGTCATTTTATGGTACGGTAAATAAACTTTAAGACTCAGAAGTCCTGGTTCCCTCAGAGAATATCAGGGATTCAGGAGGCCCCGGAGCTTCTGCAGTTTAAGGAAATTTTGTGGATTAACATCTCCACCCCTGAATCCTAGAGTTGGGGTGTTGTACATATGATTTGAATATTTTTGTTAAGCATACAGGACCCTAACTTCTGACCCTTCAGGTGACTCCTGCACAAACTCCTCTTTCAACTTCCTCGCTTCTGCTCAAGAACCCATCCCTAGTCCACATGCCCTAGAAAAACATAGGAACCAGTTCTAGGACGTTAGCGATCCACCTTGCACCCACGCTCCTCCCAGAGACTATCCTCCCGCCCTAACCCCGGCCCCAGCCCCCGCCCTAAGCCAGCCCAGCAGGACCCAGCCCACTACACGGTCAACTGAGGCTCTCCCTACTTCCTCCGCCCACCAGGCCCACGTGACCTCCACACCCCACCAATCAGCCACTACCTCCGCCCACAACCCGGTCTCCGACGCTCCCCCGTCGAAAAGACAACTTACTCCTCTGGCACTCAGCCCCGCCCCTTCCCCCACCTCCCCGCCCCGCCGGCCCCTCCCACTTCCTCAACCCCCGCCTCCCCTCCTCCCGCGGGCCCCCGCCCCCGGGCTTCGCCCCGCCTCGCCCGGGATCGCGCGCTTGCCCTCTTCTCGCGAGATCTGAGCGTCCCCCCGCGGCGGCCGTCCGCCTCCTTCTGTCCTCCCACCTCCCTCCCCCCAATCTCTCCACTCTCCGGCTCTCCTCCCTCCCTCCTCCCCCCTCCACCCTCTGGGCCGGATCTCGTCTCGCTGAGGCGGAGGAGGAGAAGGAGGAGGACGTTCGGCTTGCGCAGTGAGATGTTTGTCCGTCGCCGCCGCCGCCGCCATCGCGGAGGAGCGCGATAAAGGGAGCTGAGCCGGGCGTGAGGGGGACCCCGCGGAGCAGCCGCGTCAGCGCAGCCCCCCCGCCAGCTGAGCCCCAGCCGCCGGAGCCCGAGTCGCCGCCGCCTCCGCCGCGGCCGCCCAGGGGCCGGCCAGCTCCCCAGCCCAACCGGGGGCCGCGCCGCCGCCCCCAGCGTCGCCCCTCGTCCGCCCGCCCGCCTTAAATGTGACACCGGCGCCTCGGAGTGCGACCCACAGCCGCCGCCGGGGAGGGGACGAGCACCATGTCGAATCTGAGCAAAGGCACGGGCAGCCGAAAGGACACCAAGATGCGGATCCGGGCCTTTCCGGTGAGTCTCTACTGGGCACCGGGGACCCCTGGGCCGGGGGCCCGGCTGAGAGTCGCACGCGAGGCCCGGGCTGAACTCCCCCCAACAGGCCGCAGGCCCGGCCTCCCCTCCCCCACGCCGCCGCTGGCCGCGGGGCGCGAGCCTTCCCGGCAACGGGGCTGCGCGGGGCCCCGGCCCCGGCGCGGCCGCCCTCCCGGGCCGTTCCCCGCGCCCGGCGCCCGATCCGGCGACGCGCCCCTACCCGTCGCGGCGCCTCCGGCCGCCCCGCGGGCGTGGGCTGTGGCCGGGGCCCCTTGGCCGATCCCAGCACCTCCCCACCTTATTGGGGTGTAGGCCCAACAGCTAACACTCCTCTCCCGGCTCGGCTCCCGGGACCCACAGACCCACGGGGATGGGGACTATCTTAAGCCTCGTATGGGGCCTGTGTATAACTTTTCACGTGTGGTTTCACAAAACAAGCCAGTCCAAATGACGGCCGGCCAAACCTCCAGGATGATGAAGGGGACGGTTCTCTCTCTCCCCCTCCTCCCCAGGAAGCGTTTATGCCACCAACCCTATCCTCAACGCGGTGACAGTGGTTCCACGTAATGCTCAATAGAAACATACTAGTAATATCAGATGTATTTATAGCATCTTTCATCCACAAGCTTTCAAAGCACTTGACAAACTCTCCTGTGCAGAAATCCGCCCCTTGCCAATAGGAGGGTCAGGAGAAGCAAGCGGGAACAAATGGGGCGGTTGGTTCTCTGTTTCTCAGACCTGGAAGCCCAAAAGAATGAAAAATCGTCACCCTGGGTTGCTTTACTCTATAGGTGTTAGTGCCTGCAAATGTATTCTGTTTAGAAACTTTTTAGTATTATTGAGTCGTACGCTTGCGGTGTCGTGTTATATAGTGTTTAAGTTATATGATAAGTTATGGCAAGCCTGTAAACTGCTGGTGTAAGAGAAACTGGACATACTTGCTCTTGTCGCTACAGTAACACCTAGGTATATGTCAGGAAAGACTAGTACTTGAACTTAACAATAGTAAAACTACAGAAAGACCTTGCTTTTCCTTTCCTAGAATCATAGACACAATCCTGTGAGGAGGAAAAGGGAGAGGAGGTGTGGACTCACTTTTTAAAGCATGATTTTTCTCAAGTGTAGGTTGCAGTGAGGAAAGACTTCATTAATAATATAGTTTTCGGATTTAAGTAAGAAATTCACTCAAGGAACTTGACCTTTCTGAATTCTTAAAATTGGAAACAATATGCAGACTATGACATTGTAAACAGTAATGTCGATGTGTGGACACTTCCTGCTTTATGTAAACAAGGTGGGATATACTCAGGAGGATTAAATGTTTTGAAGGGATTTTTGTAATTTTGAAGTTTTTTTTCTAAGTAAATGTGAGGAACTACAAAGAAAGAAATGCTGACAAAAGTCCACTAGCATGTTTTCCCATGTAAGGGAATAGTGTTATGAATTTACGAGAAATGTTAGTTTTCCTACTGAATCAGTTCTATCTCTTTAGCAGAATTTAAAATTGTTTAGTTTTTTCAATAAGTTTATGCAACAAGTTTTCAAGGAAAAGTTTGCTATTCTTGGAGTGTGAGTTCTATTTCAGATTATTACTAAAATGTGGAGTAGCTCACATTTGACATCTACTTATGCTAATGTTCTGGTTAGCTGGTTCTACCTTTATGTATTTTCAACTCAGTATCTTAGCTTGTTCCTACCTGTTCTCCCATTCCTTCATTCATTCAACAAGTACTGAGTACCATGTGCCAGACACTGTTTTAGGGAATTTTTAAGTAGCATATGGTTATGAACTAATTTGGATCCTTTCTGTCTTGACTTTTTGCCCTTTTAAGTTTTTTTTAAAAGCCTTTAATGAAGTTTGTGACTAGTGTTTTGATATTCAGTAGTTAATATTTGCCAATTTTTAAAAGTGTAGACTTTATTATTTCATAATTAGGAATATCATATGTAGTTGCCAGTGAAAAGAACAGTTATATTTTTTTAATATATAAATTTTTAAGTCATATTTCCTTAATAAGGATAGAGATATGCCTCAGTGGTGTGGTAGTTCACATTGGTAAATGAGTATTTATAGACCTTCAAAATTTTTTATTTCAGGTTAGTGATCTTTTGCTTAACTGTAGTGTGCATAAATTGGTAATTAGAAGTAGAAAATACATAGTGTTCCATAAAGAAAAAATATTGTTTATGTGTGTACGTATGTACATACAAATACGGTATTTTACCATTTGGATATATAGTTACTATGATTTAAGGGAAATTATAGTTTAACCAAAGTCTGAAGTGCTCATTTCAGATTCTGTTTTATAAAATTGATGTGCAAAACATATAAAAATGTTTGGGGATTGTTTTGTTTGTATTGCAGAATAGAGTGGTAAGTGAACTTATATTTTATAGTCATGTAAATCTATTCCAGACACAATCTCATCTGTAGAATCCGGCATTTTTAGTGTTTTGAGTGCATGTTTTAAGAGTTTTTTCATCATTGTTCACAAGAATAGAAGTTACACCATTCCAGGTTTATGCACAATTTACATTTTAAGTAGGCCTTTTCATAAAATTTCAAGAGAAGTTGGCTCTTTTTAAGATGGAAAACAAAGCAAATTTCTGTCTTTATACATTGTTGATGGAGGAAAAGTTTATCCCAGTTTTTGAGCTTTCCTGCAGTGTACAAAGTACATTTATCATTTAACATCTTTCTGATTTGGGGGTACCCAAAGTAACAGCAAGGGCTACAAAACTATTTTAAGGAAAGAGGCTATAAGTTGCCAAACTCCTGAAAACAAAGTGGATTTGGACCAGAGAATGCTGCCCCAAGGAGTTTCTACTCTTCTCCCCTTGATGTTGCCATGTGTCTCCACCCCGAGCTTTTGTTCCACTATGTAGGATTAGTTACTGTCAGATGAACTTTTTGTCCTTATCTCTGAAAAGCCATTCCTCACCATCTGTACTGTCCAGGGTTTTGTCCACATGAGCTTGGAAAGATTGATTGGATTGAAGGGGATATATTTGAATGGAAGTGCTAGCCTCTCTTCTGATTTGCCTTATTGGCTTAGCCTTCAGAGTTAAGACACATTTTGAGAGTGATTGCTGGAAATGGGTTCAGTTACTTGATAGAAGCATGCTAATCATGATAAAGGATCTCTGATTGTTATGTCCACTCCATAATTCTAGATGAGATTTCCAGAGCTCTCTACCTGTGTGGTGGACAGGGAATGATGTGGAGGTTACCATTAGATGGTACCCATAAAGTGACTGACATTAGTAAGCGATTAAGTTTTAAGATTATTTTTTATTTATATAAGCTCACAAGAACTTAACGACTAATGTTTTTGTTTTTCCAGCTACATATTTGCCAGATTTGGGAAAACAGCTTTGATCTTGATAATAAGTTTTTCTTTCTTAGGGGAAGTAATAGTTACCGTATTTTTCGGACCATAAGACGCTCCGGACCATAAGACGCACCAGTTTTTAGAGAAGGGAAATGAAGAAAAAAAGATTCTGAAACAAATAGTGTCCTAAAATATTTTATGTGCATTAAAACCCAACATTACAGTCATAAACACATGTAATCAACCCTGTAAAGTAAACAGCAGCATTTAGAACCATTTTAGAGCCGGGCAAGCACACAGAGACCACACAGAGCTGGGCAAGTAAAAAAACTTTTTTTTTAAAGTATATGTGTAGGCTATATTTGGACCATAAGACACAGGGACTTTTCCCCCCCACTTCTGGGGGGGGAAAAAGTGCGTCTTATGGTCCGAAAAATACGGTAACTTAAAACTACCAGGACATCCATACAGGAAAGCTGCATAATAGTCTTGCAAGTCACACAGGGTAGGGAATTAGTTGTAAGTTTGTTTTTCATTCTGTAGCATTTTCTTATAGAGAAATCCTGGAGTAAATTGTAGGATATTTATTAAAGTGTTGCTTATAGCCGAGACCGGTTTGGCTCAATGGATAGAGCATCGGCTTAGGGACTGAAGGGACCCAGGTTCTATTCCGATCAAGGGCATGTACCTTGGTTGCGGGCATATCCGCAGTAGGGGGTGTGCAAGAAGCAGCTGATCGATGACTGACTCTCTCTCTCTCTCGTCGATGTTTCTAGCTTTCTATCTCTCTCCCTTCCTCTCTGTACAAAATCAATAAAATATATTAAAAAAAAAGTATTGCTTATACTTAGACTGATTCTTCCTTTTTACAAGTTTTAGGATAGCTCGTTGTGTTATAGCTGTTAGAAGTTTAAAAATAAAAGCATAAAATAGGTACTTACAACATGTTCATTTTGCATTATCTTCCTAGATGGCAGTTCAGAGGAACCTGGAAATTGTTAGTATCAATATTAAATTTGAAACTATTTTTGTAGTATAGAAAATAATGTGAGAATGTGGTCTTTTAAATAACACATAAGTCACAAAGTTGATTCAAACAAAATAGAAAGCTTTATATGTTTGCACATCATTTATTCATTAAGTTAAAAAACAATTTCTCTAATTTAGGAAGATTTTATAATTAGGACTAGAAAAAAGTAGTATGCCTTTCCTTTGTATTATAAATTGAAAGACTTTAAAGGTAATTTTTGCTGTTGTCTTCATTCAAGGTCATCTTGATATTTACAGTTTTGTTAGATTTCTATAAAGCTTTCTGGACAATTTATAGTTTTAAATATTGAAATTTTTGAGAATAATTATTGTTTATCCATTGTAAAGTCAACAGAAAAGTAAAGGTGTTACTAGGAAGAACAAGTAACTGGGATGAAATGTGAGTTACAGTTAGTGTCTATCAGTATATTGTGAAAACTGTTCAATCATAATCTGTCAAAGCAAAGAATTCCTATTGGTAGCTTTTTTTAAAAATATATATTTTATTGATTTTTTACAGAGAGGAAGGGAGAGAGATAGCTAGAAACGTCAATGAGAGAGAAACATCGACCAGCTGCCTCTTGCACACCCCCCATCGGGGATGTGCCCGCAACCAAG